TAATCGCACATTTGCGTACACAATTAAATTATCAAAGTTAAACATGCTGTATTTTCTAAGGATCAGACAGTGATGGTATCTCAATGGCTTTTTGTCTAGCACTTTAATAGCTTGATTATATAGAGATTTTAGAGGTTTTATTGTTGTGTCACTCGTCTGTGACCAACAAGAAATACAGTAATTAATATGTGGAATTATCATTGCCTCCAAATACATTTTTGCCGCATCATGAGTCAGTGTATTCCTAATATGTTTAAAAACAGACAAACTGTATTTTACTGTGTTGCCAATTTTCTTAACATGTTTTTTAAAACTAAACGTTGAATCCAAAACAAGGCCTAGATATTTAAATTCCTTCACTACTTTTATTTGACTCTGGTTTACATAAATGTATGGGAAGGAGGACTTCAGTTTTTGAGTTTTGGTAAAATACATCGCTACTGTTTTATTTACATTAAGTGTGAGCGAGGCAGAGGAAAGCCAGTTTGAGATGTTTCCTATGACATTGGTTAGTTTATTGGCTACACTGGTTGCATCACTTCCATGCACGTAAACTACAGTATCGTCTGCATACATCTGTATGTCTACGTCACCGCACACCAAAGGGAGATCATTTATGTAAAGCGCAAACAGCAATGGCCCAAGAACAGAGCCCTGTGGGACACCCATGTCATTAGCCTTAGATGTTGATAGCTTACTTTTGACCCTTACACACTGGACACGGTCACTGAGGTATGATTCTATCCACTGTAGTGCTCTTGGAGACAGATTGTAATTGCTCAGCTTCCTCATTAGCACAGAGTGGTTGACCGTGTCAAATGCCTTGCGTAGGTCCAAAAACACGGCGCCCACGACCCCGCCCTTGTCCAGCTTTGCCTTCACTACCTCAATAAAGTAACAACATGCAGTTTCGGTGGAATGGTTTTTTCTATATCCAAATTGCATCGGATGGAGCATATTATTTTTGTTTAGGTGTTCTTTTAATTGCGCACCAATTACTTTCTCTGTAATTTTTGAGACAACAGGAAGTATGCTAATTGGCCTGTTATGGCAGACCTCATGTTTGTCCCCTGATTTGAATACTGGAGTGATTACTGCAGTTTTAAAAGCAGTAGGAAAAGAACTCTCTTCTATTGATTTATTTGTCAGGTATGTGATAGGAGTTACAAAATTGTCTTTATGTTTTTTGAGAAGAGCGTTGTCCATTCCCCCGTTATCTTTACTTTTAGAATTTGTCAAGGATTGCAATATTTTATTTATTTCAAATTAATTTATCATTTTAAAATTTAGCATATTTTGTTCATATGAAATATTATCAGATACTTGTACATAATTATTTGTATCTCTGTTTTGGATTCCCAGTTCTTTGACTGATTTGTATGAAGTAATTGTTAAAATGATTCGCCACAATTTGAGCATCAGTTTCTGGTTTTCCATTAATATTAATTTCTAATTTATGACCCTTAAAACTCTTCCGTCCAGTTACTTTATCAATGGTTTGCCAAAGTCTTTTAGTATTTCCTTTTGCTTGTTCAATTAAGGTCATAAAAAAATTAGCTTTAGTTCTTCGTAACAGTTGGGTGACTTTGTTTCTGAGCTCCTTATACAGAAGTGAGTCTGTCAAAAGGCCAGTTTTCAATGATTTTTTGAGTGCTGCATCTCTTAATTTCATTAAATTCCACACAGACTCATTCATCCAGGGAAGAGGTATTTTACTTTTGATTTTTCTAGATGATTCTTTGGAGTATTTCGATAGGAGATCATTAAAATAGATTTTTGCAGAAAAGACATGTAGGTAAATGAGGATTTATACAAATTGTTTAGATGGATTAATCAAGAACAATATTTAGAAATAATAATAATAGACGACTTCCTGATTGGCCAGAGAGATTTTGATTCCACCTCCTGATTGGCCAGAGAGATTTTGATTCCACCTCCTGATTGGCCAGAGAGGTTTTGATTCCACCTCCTGATTGGCCAGAGAGATTTTGATTCCACCTCCTGATTGGCCAGAGAGATTTTGATTCCACCTCCTGATTGGCCAGAGAGATTTTGATTCCACCTCCTGATTGGCCAGAGAGATTTTGATTCCACCTCCTGATTGGCCAGAGAGGTTTTAATTCCACCTCCTGATTGGCCAGAGAGGTTTTGACTTGACTTCCTGATTGGCCACTCTCGCTCTCCCCCCAAAAACGTTGACAGATTGTAGTTCTGTAAGAGTCATTTCTCAGCTCATGTACAAGTTTAGTCTTCATAACATTGTGTTTTGAGTGTATCTGTAGGAAGTTTATTTAAAAGTCAGTATTGTTTTAACATTTTTTGTCTGTATATATTTACAGTCTATGGTTAAAACAAGATTCTCCAATGGGACAAAGACATATGCAGAATTCGAACCATTTATGACTTATTTTTCATCACTTTTTGCAGTGTAAAACTATAAAATAACTGTTTTTATTGAAATCTGAAATGTTTTTATTATTAAGGTCAATTCACATTCAGACGGCGTGAGAAACGATTTCTCCGCTGCAGAAAAGAGTGAAGTTAATTAACCTCCCGTTTGTTTTTGGACAGTGCAGCGTAGCCTGAAGTGCTCGCAGAGACAGCAGCACTTTGCATACAAGGTCAGAAACTAAAGTACAATAAAGGACAACAGCTTCTTGGCAGTGACAGTGGGTCCGGAGCGGCGCCTGGAGGATATCCTGCCACTGCTGCTGTGTGCAAACGGACAAACGAGGGGCGCGGTGTAAAGCACTTTATGTATTTATCAACAACAAATCTATAACAACACCTTTTTCACAAAGATCTGTGGCCACATGGTACTTTACCAGTGAGATAAGCTCCACATGGTACTTTACCAGTGAGATTAGCTCCACATGGTACTTTACCAGTGAGATTAGCTCCACGCGGTGAGTTCTGCCGCCCGGATCACAGACTTTCTGATTGGTGAAACGGTGGAGGGCGGGACATCGAAATGAAAACAATAACAAGATTTAGAGGCTGGAAAAGTAATTTATAAATTCAAATATCTCTGAACTACTGTTATCAGTTAAAGAAGTATTGGAAAAGAGCAGTTTATTATTATGACAGATTAGGGCCCTTTAATGATGACAGATTAGGGCCCTTTAATGAAGACAGATTAGGGCCCTTTAATGAAGACAGATTAGGGCCCTTTAATGATGACAGATTAGGGCCCTTTAATGATGACAGATTAGTGCCCTTTAATGAAGACAGATTAGGGCCCTTTAATGAAGACAGATTAGGGCCCTTTAATGATGACAGATTAGGGCCCTTTAATGATGACAGATTAGGGCCCTTTAATGATGACAGATTAGGGCCCTTTAATGATGACAGATTAGGGCCCTTTAATGATGACAGATTAGGGCCCTTTGATGATGACAGATTAGGGCCCTTTAATGATGACAGATTAGGGCCCGTTAATGATAACAGATTAGGGCCCTTTAATAATGACAGATTAGGGCCCTTTAATAATGACAGATTAGGGCCCTTTAATTATGACAGATTAGGGCCCTTTAACAATAACAGATTAAGGCAGTTTAATGATGACAGATTAGGGCCCTTTAATGATGACAGATTAGAGCCCTTTAACAATAACAGATTAGCGCAGTTTAATGATGACAGATTAGGGCCCTTTAATGATGACAGATTAGGGCCCTTTAATTATGACAGATTAGGGCAGTTTAATGATGACAGATTAGGGCTCTTTAATGATGACAGATTAGGGCAGTTTAATGATGACAGATTAGGGGCCTTTAATGATGACAGATTAGGGCAGTTTAATTATGACAGATTAAGGCCCTTTAACAATAACAGATTAGCGCAGTTTAATGATGACAGATTAGGGCCCTTTAATGATGACAGATTAGGGCCCTTTAATTATGACAGATTAGGGCAGTTTAATGATGACAGATTAGGGCCCTTTAATGATGACAGATTAGGGCAGTTTAATGATGACAGATTAGGGGCCTTTAATGATGACAGATTAGGGCAGTTTAATGATGACAGATTAGGGGCCTTTAATGTTCAGAATCAGAATCATTTTTATTGCCACGTAAGTAACAGGAGGTCACAGACTTGGAAATTGCTTTGGCTCAGTGCAACAGTCAAAAAGAGATAATAAAAATAATAAAAAAACACTTCTAAAGAATAAATTTAAATTTAAAATAGAGTTACAGTTACTATTTACAATATACAAGTGCACATGGTGCACACCATGTAAGGTGACAGCAGTACAGTGAAGTAAAGTGACGTATGATGGGCAGTAAAGTGACTTTATAAAGGGCGGGGGGACAGGTTAAGAAGTGTTCAAGAGTCCAACAGCAGAGGGGAAGAAACTGTTCTTGTGGCGGGAGGTTCTAGTCCTGATGGACCGCAGCCTCCTGCCTGAGGGGAGTGGTTGGAATAGTCCATGTGCAGGTGAGAGGGGAGTGGTTGGACTAGTCCATGTGCAGGTGAGAGGGGAGTGGTTGGAATAGTCCATGTGCAGGTGAGAGGGGAGTGGTTGGAATAGTCCATGTGCAGGGTGAGAGGGGAGTGGTTGGAATAGTCCATGTGCAGGTGAGAGGGGAGTGGTTGGAATAGTCCATGTGCAGGTGAGAGGGGAGTGGTTGGAATAGTCCATGTGCAGGGTGAGAGGGGAGTGGTTGGAATAGTCCATGTGCAGGTGAGAGGGGAGTGGTTGGAATAGTCCATGTGCAGGTGAGAGGGGAGTGGTTGGAATAGTCCATGTGCAGGTGAGAGGGGAGTGGTTGGAATAGTCCATGTGCAGGTGAGAGGGGAGTGGTTGGAATAGTCCATGTGCAGGTGAGAGGGGAGTGGTTGGAATAGTCCATGTGCAGGTGAGAGGGGAGTGGTTGGAATAGTCCATGTGCAGGTGAGAGGGGTCGGCTGTGATACGACCAGCCCGGCCTCGAGCTCGGGCGACGTACAGGTCCTGCAGCGATGGAAGGCTGCGGCCGATCACTTCCTCTGCAGAGCGCACAATGCGCTGTAGTCTCTGTTTGTCCCTGACTGTGGCTCCAGCGAACCACACGGTGATGGAGGAGGTGATGGAGGAGGTGATGGAGGAGGTGATGGAGGAGGTGACAGAGGAGGTGATGGAGGAGGTGCTGGAGGAGGTGATGGAGGAGGTGATGGAGGAGGTGATGGAGGAGGTGATGGAGGAGGTGATGGAGGAGGTGATGGAGGAGGTGATAGAGGAGGTGATGGAGGAAGTGATGGAGGAGGTGCTGGAGGAGGTGATGGAGGAGGTGATGGAGGTGGTGATGAGGAGGTGATGGAGGAGGTGATGGAGGAGGTGATGGAGGAGGTGAGGATGGACTCGATGATGGCCGTGTAGAACTGCACCAACATCTTATGTCATAATGATGACAGATTAGGCCCTTTAATGATGACAGATTAGGCCCTTTAATGATGACAGATTAGGGCCCTTTAATGATGACAGATTAGGGCCCTTTAATGATAACAGATTAGGGCCCTTTAATGATGACAGATTAGGGGCCTTTAATGATGACAGATTAGGCCCCTTTAATGATGACTCTACATGTAAATCTTACATATTGCTACTTTAACATAATCCCAGTTCTTATCTCTCCATAGTTTATCTCATTTGTTTTTCCAGCAGTTGTTTTGAATCACATCGGGTTCAGACAGGCCCCGTTAGCTTAGCCATAACTAGCTTAAACATCGACAAACACCCGGGATAGGTTTCATAGTTGAATCACGGCACAGGGACAACATTTGGATTCGGATCATGAAGCGTTGTGTGGAAACGTAGATATTCATGAGCCTTAATCTGTGGCAAAAGCTGCGACCACCGGCCCCGCACATGAAAGCTCTGAGTTATCATCTGACACACACCGGCCCCACAGAGACCACAGGTGTCTTTCATCTTCCTATCACAGCCCGTCGTAACTGTAGTAACCGCCGCTTCCCGAACACGCTAGTCCCGGATAACGACGCATGTAGCATTCGGAAACAAACTTTGAAGTCGTCACGCGGAGGGAATATTGAGATTTGGCCTTAAATTGTCGTCTTCTTGGTGTTTTATGCATGCCCCGGTGCCTCCGCGGTTCCCTGCTGTGGTGGTAATGCATTTCCAACTGCTGGTTAGAAGCGATGCTAATTTTTTAATGTGTCACAATGAATTCTTTGGCTCTTTACAATGTGGAGAACCGTGTGTTTGTTATCAAGTCTGTCTGCGGTTTAATGGATGCTTTGAAGTGTGACATTAAAGTGTGTGTGTATCTGTGTGACTGTGTGTGTGTATATCTGTGTGTGTGTGTGTGTGTGTGTATATCTGTGTGTGTGTGTCTGTGTGTGTCTGTGTGCGTTTGTATAATAGTGACAAACTACACCTAAAGTAACACAGTCATTGGAATGATGACAACTGAACAACAGTGGCTCAGTTGGTAGAGCGTTGCCCTTTGAGCCTGAAGGTCTTGGGTTCGAGCCCACCATGAGACCGACTCCACTGATGTCTGCTGTCGTTGTGTCCTTGGGCAAGACACTCAACCCACTTAGCCAAAAAGGAGCGCGGAAGTGATGTTCGCTGCTTGCCACGTCCACTCCATCAAGAGAGAATGGGGACACTTCCCTTTGTTTTTCATCCCCGCCTTCACTGTTAGACCTGAACACTCTGCAGGGCTAATAAAATCGGCTTTGAAGACTATTCCTCTCACACCCATATTAGCTAGATCTAGAGTCCTGTCCAACATTCAAAACCACTCCCCAAATGTACCTCCAAAGCCACCTAGGGTTTCCAATTCTCCTGATTCACCTACAAAAACCACCTCAGCCCGTCCCTACCCTAACCTCATGACCAATCCACCCCCAATTCCCCCTCGCTCAACACCCAATACCTGCGCCCCACCCGACCCGTCCCTTAACCCATCACCAAAAACCCCTCTACCTCCCCGTCCCCCTCGTCCAACACCCAAGAACCACCCACCTCTTCCTCACCCTCCCCCGCCTTCCCCGTCCCCTCTCAGTATACATCCGGCGCCAGCTCCCGCTGTGCAGCTCGTCACTTTGGCTCTCTTCTCTTTCCGACCCTTTCTCTATTTATTTCTTGTAGATGTGTTATTTTATTTTTTTATTTTCGTAGACAAGCGTTTATTTGTGCACTGTGCACACGGGAAGCCTAGCCTCGTGGACCTTCGCACTGGATTAACATGACTTCGGCACTTTTTTCGGAGTTCTCCGCTCACAGAGCCACGTGTCCCATTGTTTACACACGGGAGCAGCTTCTCGGACTTAGAGACTCCGCTTTCCGGCACTCAGAGAAGCCGGTGATCCCCTTGGAGATCCGTAGGAGACGCAGGGGCTCCAGAGGAGGCCGAAAGAGAAAGAGGAGACCGTATCTCCCCTCCATCATCATGGGGAACGTACGGTCCATCTCTAATAAGACTGAGGAGCTGACCGCACTGGTCCGCCATCATAAAGAGTACAGACAATGTGGACTTATGTGTTTCTCTGAGACGTGGCTGTGTGGGAATATACCGGACTCTGTGGTCGCGCTGGAGGGATTTAAACTTGTGCGAGCGGACCGCTGCGCGGAGGGGAGTGGGAAGAGGAAAGGCGGGGGTGTCGCGGTCTACGTGAACGAGCAGTGGTGCATCCCGACGCACGTGCATGTGGTCCAGCGCACATGCACCCAGGACCTGGAGCTGCTCGCTGTGAGCATGAGACCCAGGTATCTGCCACGGGAGTTTTCACACACCGTGGTTCTATGTGTTTACATTCCCCCGTCAGCAGACGCAGCCGCAGCATGTGAGGAGATGCACAGAACTGTGACCCAGATCCAGACCCGCAGTCCCCGCGCTCTGATTCTGATCAGCGGAGACTTTAACCACGTCTCCCTCTCCGCCACTCTCCCGACATTCAAACAGTATGTCACGTGCCCAACTCGTGGCAATAAGACTCTGGACCTACTGTATGTTAATGTGCGGGACGCATACGCCTCCTCCCCCCTCCCCCCTCTCGGACGCTCTGATCACAGCCTAGTCCGTCTGTCTCCGGAATACACACCAGTGGTGAGAAGAAATCCAGCGCAGAAGAGGATTGTAAAAGTGTGGAGCGATGATGTGGATGAGATTCTGAGAGATTGTTTTCAAAACACTGATTGGGAAATGTTTGCTCTCATGGTGAGGACATTAGTGTGATTTTCGTCTCTTTCGGCCCTGTATATTACTGTGAAACTTCCTGGATTCGGCAGTTTGGTGTCCCCCCTCTCCCCGCCTCACAGGAGCTTTAAGCAAGTTAAATGCAATGCTGAGCTATATCAAAATGCTAGTCAGGTTGAGGGAGCAACCAAGACCCCGGATTTGTAAATGCCAAACACACACATCACACACACACACACACACACATATTTGATCATGATTATTATATCTTGTCATGTCAAAATCAATTAAATAAATCAAATAGACAAAAGACATGTTGAAAGTGTAAGTGCCTCATCACATGTATGTACAAGTACAGACCAAAGTTTGGATTTTATTTTATTCATGACATGAAAGATGTTTCTATTCTCGGTTCTAATTAATAATATATAACTATAATATATATATAGTATATATATATCTAACTAAGGCTGTCAAAACGATTCATTTTTTTTAGTTGATTAATCGCATAGTAATGGTGAGTTAACTCACGGATTAATCGCATGTTTAACATTCTATTTCAAATCCACTCCAATTGAAGTTAAATGAGATTATCAAATATAATTACCAGGTTGAGTACAGCTCCAGCGCCTAAGCAGAGAGAATCCGCAGGACCGGGACGGGATCAGTCCCAGTCTGCGAGGCCTGGCATACCAGCTCTCTGGGGGTCCTCAGCACAAGTCCAACCTGAGCCCAGCCTGGAGAAGGTCCCTGTCAGGTGGAAGACCTCCTGTGTGATCCCCGGTTCCAAAAACAGCACACGCCAAGAACCGGCCTCAACTACAGACCAGTCGCACTGACCCCCACCTGATGGAAGACCAAGGAAGCGGCTCCAACCTCACCCCTCTCCGCCTCCTGTCAGCCCCACCCTGGACCCGCTGCAGTTTGCCTACGGACCCAACAGTCGGAGCAGAGGACGGCCCGGTCATCTACTTCCTGCAGCGGACCTGCTCCCACCTGGAGCCCGCGGGAGCGCTGAGAGGGGTCATGTTTCTTCGGACTTCTCCAGCGTTTCAATACCATCAGCCGCACTGCTGCAGGGGAAGAATGGAGAGCGGGAGTGGGACATTCCACTGCATGGACCAACCAACTACCTCTCCATCCCACCCACAGTAACGTGCGGCTGCGCTGGTCTCTCTCAGATTCTCACCGTCTCTCACCTCTACACCTCAGACTTCACACCACGACAACACACAGGCAGTTCACCTGCTCTCTCAGATTCCGGTTGGTTATCAAGGACTTTTGTCGACTGGTGTGAGTGCCACCACTTGTGCTTGAAAAACCGAAAAAATAAGGGGGGGGGGGGGGCAACAAAAACACCAGTAAAACCAAGGAGATGGTCATCGACTTCAGAAAAGCCACTTTCCCACCCTGGCTGAAACATCCAGGGGAGGAGATTGAGCGGTGGACAGCTTCAAGTAACCTGGGTGTTTCACATTAACAATAAACTGGATCTCTCTCAGATTCAGATTCAGATCAGATTCAGATTCAGATTCATTTTATTAGCCATGTGCAGTAAACAAACTACATTGGAATACATTTGCAAAGAAAGGTACTCTGTGTGCACCGACAGAATAAAGAACACGATACAATGTGATATAAAATACACATACACTGAATATAAAAGAATAAAAAAAAACAGCTGACACTGTGGCACCGATCAACAAAACGATACAAGGGGTAAAAGCAGGAATTAAAGTGCTCTGTTTAGGCACCTAACAGCTTGTGGAAAGAAGCTGTTAGCATAGCGAGATGTCTTGCATCTCAGCGACCGATATCTTCTGCCAGAGGGAAGAAGCTGGAACATGGCTTTCCCAGGGTGGCCAGAAGAGTCATTAACAATCCTAAGAGCTCTGTTTAAAATTCTGGATTTATAAAGAACCTCCAGAACAGGAAGCTCACAGCCCACGGTCCTCTTTGCAGAGCGGAGCACCTTGTTTAAAGCTCTCTTTTCTTTATCTGTGATGTTTCCAAACCACACAGACACAGAACCAACAAGTAAACTCTCAGTGGTGCAGCGATAAAAGTTAAGCAGAATCTTAGAGTTAGTGGTAAATTCTCTAAGTTTCCGCAAAAAGAAGAGCCGCTGACGTGCTTTCTTAACGACCCGGTTA